CTAAATATTTCTAATGCCTTAATCGATTGCCAGCCTATTTTTATCCTTTTAGAGGTGCAAAATTGATTAAATTAAAACATGAAAGAGAAAAGGATATTTAACAAAATAAATTGAATGAAAAGAGACACCTTGAAATGAGAAAATTCTATTTTCAATTTATCTGCTTAAAGCATCATCCATTCTTCTCTGCTATTCCTCACTTCTTTCATTTGGTACCAGTGATATTATTTAGCATTTGTGTATCATCTCATTACTTTTGACTTCTTCGATCTAATCATAAAATTGATATCAACTGATATTTTCTTCATCATTGAATTTCGAATTTGAAAATTGTTGCACAGATTCATTCCCTCTCATTATCCAATTATATTAATAATACAAATATAAATTTTGTATTTAAAAGATTTTTCAAATTCCAATAGGCTTTTATAAATAATTTAAGGTTTTGGTAATTTTCATAAAAATTTTATGCGATTAGGCTTATCTATTTTTCTATTTAAAATTATCGTTAAGAAGAAAAAAACGGAATTTTTTTCTCATTCTTTGTTTTAGAATTAAAAATGAATTGAAAATTCCTTTTTCAATTAGCAGAAACTATTCATTATCTATTCATAAAGATATTTGATGCATCATTGTTTCCCTTTATTGACCTATTTCAATTCTTAATGGATGTTTTGTTCCTTTTTTTTTAAACAGAAAATGTAATATATGTTACCATTTCAAACCTCATCTCCTCCTTTTTCTTCTTTACCGCTTCACATTCACCTGTCCATCCATCCATCTATCCATCCTTTTCTGCCACCTTCACAAACAATGACACTTTCTGTTAATTAAATGATATTAAAAATAAATTTGTTTTATATTAATTTCATATCAGCTTAAATGAATTTTAAATAATGATTATATTTGTTCATTGTATAATAATTCAATAATGAAAAATGGTGTAAGAAATTAAATGAAAAATTTTTTTTGAAGTAAATTTCATAATGACTAAAACTGTTAGCAGTAAAATTAAGTACCGAATTAAGTGTACGAATAATCTGTGATGATACAGGATGAATTTTTTGGTTGCTGTTTGCTTGCAAAGTACATAATTTTCCATTTACGTTTATTGTCAAAAAAGAATTTCAAAACTACTCAAAAAGTATTTTGCAGATACGTGATCATCGTTGCGATCTGCTGCAACGTAGCGCTTCCACGGGTGCCTTGGAAGTTAGCACGTCACCAGACGCAGATCGTGGTTCGGTACCAGCTCGTGTGCAGACTTCCTATACTTTGGTATCAAAAAGTCCGGATGCTATCGGAAGCCATCTCAGTTATAGTGACACTGTACCTGCCAATGCTCTAGCGTCAGTTCCACCACCTTCAACTCCTGCACCTCTTTCGCGAATGTTATTTTCGCAATTTTTTGGTACACCAACTGCGACTGCAGCGGTTGCTGCAACAGCTGCCGCTACTGTTCCATCAACATCCACTGCAGTAAAAGATACCGCACTGGATCTGTCCAATTCGGCACCAAACAAGCAACAACCGCAACAACAACAATTCCTACCAATTCCTGCTATTCCGCAGCATTGTAAGTTTGTAATAATTTAAAATTTAAGTTTTTATTGAGATTGTTCCAACAAAATATACCGCTTTTTGTTCATCTTACTATTATTGGAACATGATGGATGAATGTATATATCGTAATTGATTGCTTTTGATAGTAGTTATGGTCAGTAGATTTCATTCTTTCCTCTTTATTTTTTGTGGTTAATTATGTTTACTGATTTAATAATAATTGTCAGTTTCAGTTATTAGGCCACCCTTCAGTTTTGGTCAATTTGCGGCAGCCGCAGCAGCGACATTGCGTCCCGCTCCGCATCCCGATTTATTTCTGAATGGTCCTTCATCTACACCACTACTAAACAATGACGATGATTGGGAGGCATTAATGGAAGTGAGTACAACGGATGAATCTGAAAAAATACGGGCATTAGTTGGCGACAAAGCTTTACCAACAACGGATCCCAATCAGTGTTTGCTGTGCAGACGGGTACTTTCATGTAAAAGCGCTCTGCAAATGCATTATAGGACACATACTGGTTTGTTAAATATTATTTCAATTAATAACTTACACTTTCCAAATAATTCTAATTGGCGACTTAAAGAAAATTTAAGCTCAAATTAAATCATTGATCAAAATTTTCAAATGATTAAAATATTATAAGCTAAGCGCATCAATTGCATAATTTGACCACTAATTAGGTTTGTTATTTATATGAATCACTTGAACATTTATTCAACCTTATACTATTTATTAAGCTTTATATTGTAATATATTTTGATCTTATTTAATATTTCAACTTATTTTCTTGTTTTCTCTAGGTGAACGACCTTTTAAATGTAAAATATGTCAACGAGCGTTTACAACGAAAGGTAACCTCAAAACTCATATGGGTGTCCATCGAGCCAAGCATTCCTTTCGTGGACTCGCTACTTCAACGGCAAATGTTCACCATCAATGTCCCATCTGCCAGAAACGGTTTTTTACCGCTCACCTGTTTCAGCAACATGTCGCACAACATACTAGCCAATCAACCAGGTCAATTATCATACTTATATTTGTATATTTGACTTCACGTTATTTTTCAAATCATTTTTTTATAGAAAAAGTCTCATTGCATTCGTCTCTACTTTAAACTTAAATTAGATATTTTCCAGTTTCAGTCAAATATTGATGAAGAGATATTAGAGAAATTAAAATGAACTGTGGAAAAAGATAAATCAAACAAGATAGGAAAAGGAAAACAAAAGTGACAAAAATAAAAGTTAATTAATCATTTTTGAGTTCAAGGGAAGAATGAACAATAAAAGATTAACGTGTTAATCCATGATAGTATCATCAAAAAAATGATACGATATTTGAAGGGTTTTTACTAAATGATTAAACTATAGGAACGGTATACTATCACCGTTTGAGGTACCAGTAGCTTCTTCACAGAACTTTGATCATCGTAGCGAACAACATCATCCAACTTCGTCAGCATCCACAACAAATGGGTAATTTCTAGCCATTCCCTTTTGATTGATCAAGAAATTATTCTTGAATTAAGATTTTGTTTATTTCGGACATACACTTATACACTTGCAAAATAAACCAATCTTGAAAGCGAAAATGAAAATTTAAACTGTTTCTTTTAAGATCATAATTAGTTTAAAAGTGACAAATAATGATATCTGTGATACAATAGTACCATAGGTTGCTTTTTTTTTCTTCAGCACTTCTTCTATGCTTCAAGCAAATGCTGCAAATTTGATGTTACCTATCAAGAATGACCTCGTGTCAACACCATTCATGCCGCCATTTCCGTTCTTTCCGCTTAGTTTACCACGTGGTCTTTCAAGTCCGATTGCTGCTTCAAGTACACCTCAAACATCACTTGGATCAATCCCATTTGCAGCTAACCATCAAATTAATTTAAAACAAGAAGGTGAAATTTTAACCATATGGAAAATTGAACCAGCTAATTTCACATTAAATCCATTCAATGAATTCAAAATATGAAATTTCGAAATTAAGCAACTTTGAGAACTTCAATTTGGAAATATTTCTATTCCAGAACATCACCATCAGCAACAACTACAGCACTCGATAAAATCAGAATTATTACAACCACCGCCACCAGCAACCACACGTCCGGAATCATTGCCCACTGCCCCTTTGCGTTTGGAAACTTTACCAGCTATATTTAATCCATTTGGGCGATTAACTCATCCTACAAAAGACGACGATGAAGTGGCTTCAACGAGTAGCTCACATAATGGCTTATCTTTACCGATCATGTCAACAGCATTATCATCAGCAAATACAAACGATCCGGTGTCAAATTGCACCGCTTGCTACCAATTCCTTCCCAATCAGGTTGCATTAGAACTGCACATGAGGTAAGTTTGAAAAATTTTTGCTCAATGAAAATTATTGCAAAACTTAAAATAATTAAACAATTCATGTTTATTATCCATTGGTGAGCTTCGTTATAAGAATAATAAATTGCTTGCATAAGTTTTAAAAGTACAAAATGGAAATTCAAAATTATTCTCTGTGAAACAAGCAAAAGTTTTCTTCATTATTGAAATTTGTTTCATCAAAAGTTTTTTCATTCAGATCATTTTCCCGAATAAATTAAGGTAGTACTTCAAACTTTCATGAAAAGACTATAGAAGGCGTTGCATAAACAAATTGAATTGTCGAAGTACCGTAAAAAGATTTTTTTACGTGACGTTATTTGGGTGGAAATGACTTTCAAGATAAATATTAAAAGAATTGTTTAACGACGGGGAAATGAGAAATGATGATTATTTTAGAACTCATCGTGATGATACTCCATTGAAGTGCTTCATTTGTGGTACCACATATACAACAAAAGGGAACCTGAAACGGCATATGTCATCAAAGCATCAAATTCATTATCCTTGTTCACCGGATGGTAACTCCAATGATAGTGATGATGATGACGAAGATAGTGATGATGATGATGAGGAGGAGGAAGAGGATTGTGCTTCATTTACACATGCTGAAAATGAGCAGTACGTAAATCATTTTTAATTATAGCTTTGAATTTCCTCTTATCTTTCAAAAGATTTCTTCGATGATTGTCGGAATTTCTTCAGAATGGATGCTGGTGAAAGTCAACACGGTATATCAGAATCCACTGATGATAACAATTCACCAGAACAGCAACAATACCAACAGCATCAGCAGCAACAACAACAGCAAGAAGAGGAGGAACAACAACAAAATGTTGAGACTTCAGATGAGAAGCCATCTCCGACATCTTCCATATCTATTGCAGCCCCTCCACCTCTCAGTAGCACACCAAATCCCTTAGATGCAATGCAAAAAATGTGGGCTGAAACCGAGCCGCCACCTCCACGACAAGCTCCCATACTATCAAAACATCAATGTGGCGTTTGTTTCAAGCATTTCAGCAGCAGTTCCGCCTTGCAAATTCATATGCGAACTCATACAGGTAGATTAAACTGGATGATTTTCTGAATACATTTAATATATAATATCAGACGATAGATAATTCTGTCAAAATTTGATTTCAGGTGATAAACCTTTCAAATGTGAAGTATGTAACAGAGCGTTCACGACACGCGGTAATCTGAAGGTACATATGGGTACCCATATGTGGCAACAGAGTCCGTCCAGGCGAGGTCGTCGTATTTTTGAATTTGGTGCCGATAGTATCTTGCGGTCGGAGTTACTACCGGCATTCGGTCTAGGTGCCGAAGGAACACTTCGCGTTGGATCCTTCGATCCTAAAGTTAATCCATTACGTCCCGATAGATTTGGATTACACCCACCATCATCTCAACCTGCTGCTGCACCTCCTGCACCTGCACCACCACCATCACCATTTTCAGTTTTACCCTTTCCATTGCCATTGCTACCGCAAGTAAACAATTCCGGTGGTTGTACCCAAAATCAAATGGATACTGTGATGTGGATGTGGAAAACAGTTTGCTCGGTATGCCAAAAGATTTGTGCTTCTCCTCAAGAACTTGAAAAGCACCTGAAGCAACATTTAAATGGTACCGTACGTACCGATAATGCTAATACGGCAAAAGTTACTCCATTACTACAGAAAACCGAGTGATAATAATTGTGATTAATATGTATACAGGTTTTTTTTTTGTCTAAAATTCTGTGCAAAAATTAATTAATGAACTTATAGGATTTACTGCAAATTTCTTCGTTTAAAAAAATCATTGAATTTTATAATTAATTACTTCGCAATTCAACAATTTAAATACATTTGTTTCTCTCTTCATTTTTTTCGCACCAATTATTCCTTACATTTTATAAATGAATTATTTCCTCAAGCAAAATTTAATCAAAGATTAAAACAAAAAATTATTCGTTGCAAATTTAATTTTTTTTGATTCAATTAAACCTAACCCATTCTTCTACTTTCAGAATGATCTGAAAATATAAATGAGTCAATTTATTACATATCAAATATCGAACAGTTAATATTTTCTAATTAATTAATAGTAAATCATAGAGAATATAATATGAAAATTATAAAATGAAGGGAAAATTATAATAAAATCTTATCTTATAATAACAATAATAGTAATAATAATAGTAATAATAATAACAATAGTAATAATAATATTAATAAAATTTATTTAAAAATAGTGATGGAAACAAATTGTCTTTGGATTGATAGAAGGAAAAATTATTACTATTTTCTCAATATTTCTCAGCCCAATGTCATCGATATCCGACATTTTCCAAAGTTTTATCATTCAGTTATAATTACTATTTTGTCGATTCTATTAGTATAACAATGTATTTTATGTTACAATAATTAATTTCTTTTTTAGAGTATTGCAATTTTATTAATTTGTAAAATGACGATCTTCTTCTTCAATACAAATGGCGACAATTACGTAAAATAATCATTACCCTTTAAATATTAAATTATTACCTTTAAATCATTACCTTTTTGAATTATTACCCTCTAATCCTTGATCTCTTGACCTTTGTTGCAGCGTACGTTGAAGGAATTACCATTCATTATACGCTGTTAAAAATTGCTAATATTGTATTTCTATGAATCACAAATGAACGAACGATACGTTTCGTTTCCATTTTTGCCTTTGCCTTCCCATTTGCTTTGAAAAGATAATTGAAAGCTTTAAATTAGATATCCTTTCTTCATAAGCAGTAATTGTTGACAAATTCGTCCGTTTGCAAAACTAATAAATCAATAATTGCTATCTTTTATAATTAAAGCTTGAAAGAAATGATATTTTAATTAAGACAAAGTAATACAATCACATATAAATAAATATGACAAAAGAAATTCCGAATTATCAAAAGAAAGGAACAATTGTGAATTTCCATTTTGTTGTGATGTATTCCTTTGTCAATTTATTGAAAAAGTTTGTTGTTTGTCAACTTTGACATTTATCACTTTATTATATTTGCTTTGATTTTTTGTGCTATTTCTGTTATCTTTTCCCATCGAAATGTTTGCTTTTTAGATGCTTTTTGTGTTATTTGAATTCCTGTCTTTTTCTTTTTACCGTTCTTCCGGAATGAGTGATCAGGAAAAATTCAGTAACGAAATGAACGAGAATGAGATAGGAATATTATTGGTGAAAGCTTTTGATAATAGAATGAAAGAGATAGAAGCATGGAAAAACATATGTGGAAGAATTTTACAGTATCATTGAAATATCAGCAAAAAACAATGAAACTGGTTAATTAATGAATGAGATAATTATAATTTTTGCATAAACATTAATTTATTAATTCCTTCCTTTTCTAAGCATTTTTAGAAAATATGAAAAATTTTTTCAAAACAATCATACATTTTATCTTCAACAGTAAATATAAAGCTTAATTGAAATTTTACAAAGAATTATTATATTAAATTAAAAGTTTTAGCATTTTGAATTACAATGAACTTTTACCGTGATATTCCTCCAAACGCCACTGGTATTTTATTACCTTGTATTAAGTAATTTATTTTACTTTGTTTTAAGTATATAAATGCATAATTATCGTGCTATTGCCAAATCATAATTACTACTGAATTTGAGCTTTCTTATTATTATTATTTTTTTTGAAACCTGTGTATCCTGAAAAATGAAGTGTTCCTATCAGGAATATAGCTTTATTTTTCATTACTTGATCCATACCGCATCCATTATTTTCATGTATTGAATTAACTCGTCATAGCGGTGAATAATTGATACGGTCATAAATATAAATTGTTGTTGTCTTTTTTCCTTTTGCAGAATTTAAAATTGGTACTTCGAATTATTTATATATTATTGAGTAATGCGTGTGTCGATGAATTTATTTTTTTGAATTGATTGATATATTTTAATCAATCGAAAATTTCTATCCCTAATTATTATTTGTTATCAATGAAAACAAAAATGCTTTAATTCTTTTAAAAAAAGAAAATGGCTTTGTTACAAAGAAATGAACGCAGTAAAGGGATGACGCCGAGAATTGAAAATATTAGCGAAAATGCAACAAAGTGAAAATGACGAATTAAAATAATAAGTTATTTCGTTTTGTGATAACAATTAAAAATCTATTCATTGATTATGAATTTCAACTGTAGAATTCAGTGCCATTCAGGGTTTTATCATTAATTAATCAACATGGCATAATGCTGCAAGAAATTTAGAGAATTTAGAAATGGATAGGCACTTTGTGATAGGTATAACTTGAAACGGATCAATTTTCATGTTAAAATTTCTCTCCCTCATTTAATTAATTTTCAATATTAGATAGGAATTAGCATAATGTTAAAATACCAAATTAAACCATGCAGTAATAATTTCTAATATTAATTTCCTATATCTCGGCTAATCAGAGAATTTCGACAATTATCCGTTCAGGATTTTAGCATTAATTAATCAACATGGCATAATGCTAGTTCGTACGCTTTTTTGCTAGACGATCGAACAGCAATTCAATGTGATCCTTATACCCAATCCCATTTCTCCATTTCGTCTTTTCAATTCTGATATTTCGAAAAGAACAAAATTCAGGATAGAGAACGGAAAACAATCATTCTTCAACTATATAATTATAAAAATGTTGAAATTTTAAATTTCGTGAAAATGATTCATAGAAAAAAAGTGTATGGAATTATTTAAAACTGAAGCAATTCATTGGAATGTTAATTAAACTATTTAAAGCATCTTAAATTCATCCATTCCTCTTGAGAAAGTTTCGCACCATCAGATTAGATATAACATATCGTTAGTACTAAAAAATATTCTGATCTGCTTTTGCAATTCCCGATCTTTCTCAATAATGCTATTTATTTGCAATATTGCGAATTATCGCGTGAACGATGAAAATAACATTCCCACGTTTTAAAAATTATTTTTTCTCGGATAAATGATTTCATTTGCCAATATAATTTTTGCTTTTACTTTTGCAATTTATTGTTATTTTTTTTAGCCTAAAATTTAATCTTTTCAACGAATTTCAACGATATCTTATATATCTTATATTAGTTATTATCGCGAAGAAAATCAAAGACGATAATTTAACATTAAATTATGTAACTATAAATCACATAATTTATAATAAATATCTTTTCATATAAAATATTCTTCGTCCAATTTGTTTTATTACTTTGAAAGCATTCAAAGTTTCATTATTAATCATTTCATCTAATAAATGAGTTTAATCTGTCTCAGAAGAACAAGCAAAATTATCTCAGATCCAAGTAAAACGTCATTTCATTAAATGACGTCAACAAATTTTAAAAATTAAAATTTTTGATAACGATACCGATAATATTGATAATTCTTATATTTGCTACATTTCATACGCTGAATTCAAAATCTTTGAATTTTGAAATTTCCCCGTGCAAAAAGTCATATAGCAGTAGTATTATAATGTAATTATTGTAAATTATTATAGTATTATTATCTTGAAAGTATCTCTGTAAATCAATTAATCAATTTAAAGAAGCAGTTGTCAATTCCAGAAAATAGAGAAATAAAGATGATAAGGCGTTCAGAGATAAAGTAGCAAACGAAAGAGCACAAAGATCGATTAGTGGAACGTAGAAAATTTCACTTTTAATTGTAGTAAAATTACGACATTTTTTTTTCAATTTAGCTTAAGGTAAAAATATTTCAGTGTAATTAAATTATTGCACTCTTCTTGTATGTTACATTTTATGCTACTTCAAACCAAAAACTAATTTTTTCTCTTCATTGATGTAAAAGCTTGTATATTATATATATTTGATACCTGAATTTATTTAAATCTCTATTTAGTTTATTATCATTATTATCATTATTATTAATAATTGCATTATTACTGCTATTATTATTAATTTATCATTATTGTTATTAATTATTACAGTAATAATGGTAGTATTTATTTCCTAAAAAAAGATAATTAAGTGAGATATAAAGTAAATAAGTTAATTAATTATAAGAAAGGAACTATTCGAAAACAATTAAATGAAATTGATATTTTGAAGAAATTAAAAGAATTAGACAATAAATAGAACAATTACTGCAAAAAGTGTTTTTAAAAAAGCAATAAACGAAATAACAAAAAGAGATTTTATGTAATTGCTACGATTACAATAATAATTTGTTATTGGAAGGTAATAATTCACCTGTTTATTCATAATAATAATTCACCTATTTATTCATTCATTAATGAGGCAACTTCGTCGTTTCATTTATTTCGACAATAATTTTAATGAGCAATCGAGTAATTTAAATGCAAAATTAAGAGGGAATTTTTGATGGCTGATATTTGGCAATGAAATTTTATGTTTTTATGTGAGAAGCATTTTTTCCTTTTTTAATATGCAAGCATATAATTTAGTGCTAGCTTAACCTTTTCAAAGAATTAATTTTAAACATTATTGCTTATTGTTTAATTGTTTTTCTCCCTTTTCTCCTTTTTCTTAATTTGGAAATAATTGTGCTTCAATTAGCCAAAATAAAATTCGATCATTAAGAGCGCATAATCAATTGATAATATCTTTGACCTAACCATTTTAGGCCATTTCTTTCAAATTAGCATTGCATATAATTGGTTATATAAGATCAGTGATAAGTTTTTGAAATAATTGTTCCACATCCTGTA